ACACAACATGGAGGCCTCAAATTGCATTATACTAATTATATTTGCACTTTTCTGTGACCTCTAAACTACTACGCAATTAGTTTCTCTCTGTTTCCCCCCTCAGGGGCGTCTTTCAAGTGGAAGATATTGCTTTGAACTACCGGGACCCCGAGGGTGATCTGATACGGATATTAGACGATGAAGACATCGCTTTCATGGTGCAAGAGAGCAAACAGACGGGGTCAAAGGTCAAACGACCCGTGAATCAGTTTCCCTGGGAGCTGCTGGTCACGCATGCCAAAGATCTGACCGTCTACAACACCGAGTATTAAAACCAGCGCTTTTCTGGACCTCGACATGTTCCTCGTCATTTGCACATTGATTGTTAGTTTAATTGGTTTTCAAATTGAAAACAATTTTTGGTTATTAAAGGGATAGTTCACCCAAAAATGACAATTGTGTCATTATTTACTCACCCTTGAATCGTTCATGACTTTTGAGGCAGAATCAGTTGGTCCAGTTCACAAAATCGGTCTGACTGATTCATTTATGAATCAAAGTGATTCGGTTCTCAGTTCACTGATTCACTGATTCACTGATTCACTGATCTGGTAACAACGGATCACAGATCGCAGGAAGGGAAGATAATCAGTGAATAATAACAACTTCATTGTCCAAAACATTATTAAATGACCTCAGACTAGTGTTATCATTAATATACTATTATATTGTTTATAGAGAGATAGATTAGATTTTTCATGTGATCTGTTTTCACTTTTTTTAAGTGCATGTTAAAATGTGTCTTTATAAATTTGATTAATTTTTACTTAATAGTTTGTTTATTTAGTTTTAGTTGTTTTAGCATTTCAATTTAAACTAAACCAAAATAAGAAATGTAGCCTTGACAACTAAATAAAAATGTTTGTGTTTTCTTGTATTTTATATCTTGTATTTTATTATTTTATTTAGTTATTTTTTTGTTTGTCTGTTTGTTTAGCTTTAGTTGTTTTAGTATTTCAAGTTAAAATAAACAAACCTAAGAAATGTAGCCTGGCAACTAGCTGAAATTTAAAAAAAGTTTCATTTTATTTTATTTTATTTTTCAATATTAATTTTATTTCAAGTAACAAGAACATTTTTATGTTTTTAATTTTAGTTGTAATTAGCTATAATAACCCTGTCTCAGATTATTACAATAACTCATACAAGTCATATGTAAATAAGACTGTTTGTTGCTGCTTTTGTGGCCTTTTTGAAGCTACACTCTTAAAAATAAAGGTGCTTAGAAGGTTCTTCACAGCGATGCCATAGAAGAACCATTTTTGGTTCCACAAAGAACCATTCAGTCAAAGGTTCTTTAAAGAACCATCTCTTTCTTACCTTTTTGTAATCTGAAGAACCTTTTTTCACAACAAAGAACCTTTTGTGAAATGTAAAGGTTTTGCAGATGTTAAAGGTTCTTTATGGAACCATTTAGACAAAAAGGTTATTCTATGGCACCGTGAAGCACCTTTATTTTTAAGAGTGTAAGACTGGTTTTATGGCCCAATGATGCTCACCTCACAAAGAGTGAAAAATTTAAGGGGGTCTGAATACTTTCCGTACCCACTGTATATATATATATATATATATTATATATGTGTGTGTGTGTGTGGGTATGTGTGTACATTTTATACATTAACGTAAGCAGGGATTGGCGCTGATATATACATTTAATGCATATCAAACACACACACACACACATACAGAAAAACCTGATTACTCTTTAGGCAAGTGTGAGTTTGATTCATGAAAGTGTGGAAGGAGGCTGATCGGTCGGATCTATCAGCGTGAGGAACGTTCTCAATCTGAATTAGCTACAGCTAATCATTCGCAGTGTTTGCTAAGGCAAGATTTACTAACACATCGCTCATACTTAGAGTTAGTGATTTCAGTGAATCTCTAGCCGTAGGAATTAAACTACGTTACTGTACGACATATATATGAATGATACCTCAAATTTGTTTATTATTTCTTTTCACCTGGTACTAAACTAGGCAACCAAAATCATAAAAAAAAAACATACAATTTTATATAAATATAATATTATATAAAATGAGTAATTGGAAATGTAAAGGTTTTGCAGATGTTAAAGGTTCTTTATGGAACCATTTAGACAAAAAGGTTCTTCTATGGCATCGTGAAGCACCTTTATTTTTAAGAGTGTATAAACCCTCAGTTTCTGTTTACTGTTGCTGACCAGCAGAAGGTGAATATGAGGATGAGTAATTTATGACAAAATTGTATTTTCTGGGTGCCTAATTCTTCAATACAACCAGTATTTCACAGTGGAATCTATTGCTGAATATATTTTAGACATTTTCAGTGCTAATAAATACTGATTTTCTTCTCTACTTTTAGCACTTTTTGGTGGTATGACATCTGCAACATTTCACTTTTTTCGTTTGGTGAAGTTTTTATCCAACTTCCTGTTTCAATTCCCTTCTTTGCAAGAAAAACTCTTTTCAGAAATCACAGGTGA